CCGGAGTGGGTGCTATCTGGTGGTGAGGCTCCTCTCATTTTTTCTTTCCCTTTTGCTGCTACTAAAGCTTTGCTCATTATTTTTTGTGGCTGCTTTGTTTTTGGCTTTGGTTTTTAACTGTCTCCGGAACATGTTGAGTGTTTGCTCCTCCATCAGACTAAAAGTGCCGTTGTGTTGTGCAGGTGTTAATGCCAGTAGTCCTCACCACCACCCTGCGGAAGTAAATTAGCTCTAGAGCTCGGAAAAAAAATCCTCTGGTTTGCAAACTGTCATTCATCTCCTTGTTGAGTAAGAAATCCTTGACTCTGAAAGAAGGTGGTGCCTGACACCTTCAAGTAATATGGAGTAAAGACATCATTTACCCGTTTAGGTGCTGTGGTGGAAATCTAAGCAAGGGTGCGGCCCCGATGTTAAAATGTATAATGGTTAACAAAAAATGCAGCGTGCTCACTGTGTTCAGCACTGGAACGTTGCTTAGTGCTGCTTTGAATAAATACCAAGTAACATACTACTTACTTGTGGATCTATGATTCTCAGACCGCAGGTGACAACAGTTAAGTGACTTGAGGCAGGATGAGGATTAAGAATGTTAAAGGGAAACTATGTGACCACAGTTAATAAATTTCACTGATTCCAAAAATGAGACTGTAAGGTTACTGACGATAATGAAGACGCACAGCAGACAGTTTCTCTACTGAAATCTGAGCTACATAAGATTTTCACCCTCCTGACCACAAGAATGACAGACGTCTGAAAAACATGGTCGAACATTTAGGGAAAGCAGACTTGAAAATCCACATCTGGTCAGCAGTCCAAACACTGCCGTAAGTAACATATGGGTAGTGATACATTAGATTGCTCTATAAAATCTCCAAAGGAGCTTGAACATTTACAGCTTCTGGGGACATGAATTTTAGGTATACAGCGAAGATCATATTTAATAAAGGAACGTGAGATATAACAGAGTGCAGTTTTGAGGATTTTACTGAAGGTTTACAATATTCTGTTGTACACGGCAAGGGAACCATATCTGTGCAAACTGTAGAACTTGGTTTTAAGCAAAGTTGGGGTCAGATGTGCCCTGGCCACCTTTTTTGTAGCAGCTGGTCTACTTCTTGTCTACCGACTTGGGGGGGATCAGCACGGAATATGTCTACAAAAAACCTCCACGAAACCCAAGGTATAATTTTCACTGTATTTGCTTTCCTTCCCCCACCTTACTCCTTTGCACTACTATTATTACACCTTTTTGTTTCCTTCCTATTTGTCACGGAGATTTGGGTGTAAGAGGTAGTTTTGCGTTACATGGACATCCAGTTCATTGAGTGGGCGAGGTAGGACAGGATACTGTTACCCGTAGAAAACTATTAAGTAACATCACTTTTCCCTACTACAATTTTTGCCAACTGATCATGGACTCCAGCAGTCTTGTGGAAAAGAAACACCTGTTTTCTGGGCCATCAAAAGCTCTGCGGCCCCTTTCGGGTACCTCTTTATTGACTTTACTGTGGCTGGCAGAATTAGGCTCTTGAAGCCCCGTGGCCTGGAACAGTGGCTGGTGACAACTACTCGTCAGCGCAGATCTGATGGCTAGCAGATTTCCTTGCTCCGAGAGTCCACCCACAATCTATTTATGACTCCAACAGATGTGTGTTCTGGTTTAGGCCAGTGGAAACCTTCTGGTCTCTATTTATAAGCCAAAGTTTACAGCCCTCCCCAATTTACGCTCGCTCTTTCTCCCGTCTCCTGAGGATAAAGGAAGCAAACCCAAACCTCATCCGCACTCCGTTGGTAGTGTACTGAAACGTCTGCTTCGTACGTTCAGCGTTGCCCTCACCAGATCAATGGCACAGCAGCACGGTTAATCGTGTAATGACAGAATGTGGTATATTCTTAATTGCCTTTGTGGGAGCAGCACTGGCAGGCGTTGTTTGAGGTGGTCTTCCAGAGAGCCTGGTGGTTCTCCCTGAGCCCCAGGCGGCACCTGGGTTAGGTGAGCAGCCCCTTGCACCCCCTGCCCAGCTCCTCCCCGAGAGACAAGAACCAGCTTTACAAAGGGACACTTATGTGGGTATTTAGTGGGGTCCAGCCAGCAGCAGAAATACATCAAAGGTAATCTTAAAGAAGGAACCTTTCTTTGCGGCTTTGTCTTTTTCTATTCTGAAAGGTTATTTGTGAACCAACTGTCCCAAAAAAGGCCTTTCCCCAGAAGTTTACTGTTGTTATTTTTTACTTTTTGATTACAGTAACTTGCTTATCCCCCAAACAGACTAAAGAACAATAAACAAATACAAAAGGAAAAGGAACAGCTCATCAATAACAAAGACCTGCGTTTTAAAGCTTTGAGTGTACTGACTCTTACATCTCACTCCAAGTAAAGCAGGAGTCCTGCAGAGAAAGGAATCTAAAAGATATGAAAATTATAAAGATAGTAAAAACAATGTTTGGTAGGGATATTTTAACTTGGTGTGGAGAACTGAGCTTTAAAGTGCAGCATACTGAGGAATATGGTTTTCCCCCCACTGCTGTATGTTGTGGAGTGCGTAGGCAAGTCTGTATTTCAGTCCCTGTGAAATAGTCTAACCGAGATGAATGCAGAAGGTATAGCTTTCACTTCAAGTTTAAATCTTGAAATTGGGCAGCTTGGATGTGTTATATGTGGCTTAAAAAACTAAATAGTATCTAAGCCCAATCCTTTGAAATTGTATCAAAATAGTCTCTTGCAAGAGGCAACAATACAGTCCACAAATCTAACTTATGTTTTCTTCCTTTTTTTTTTTTTTTTTTTTATTTTCAAACTCTGACTACAAAGAAGACACTAACCACGGATACTGAAACTGTGCAATTTGATGTAATTATATTCCCCCCCATAGATTTAATGAAGGACTTTTAAGTACAATTTATCTTTGATAAATAGTCCCTCTGCACAGAATGTTTATTAGATTGACAGCAGAATACACTCTGCAAGCTTTTTTTCCTTGCCACTTATGACTCAGATGAATTTTAATAGGAGTAAAAAGCTTTTATTTGCACAGTAATTTCACTTAAGGATCATATCCTTCAGAAACTGGCAGACACTTGTATGTCTTGATTGCAAAACAGACACTCAAGAGTAAAGAAACATGCATAAGATGTTATTATTTGACTTGTCACACTGCTGCAATTCTATTTGCAACTTCTGTCATCAAATCTCCTGTAGGCATCACCTCCCCTCTCCCCACAGCATACATGCAGGTGTGTGTACGCACACGCGCACACACACGCTCTACTTTCAGAAAAAAAAGAAACAGCGCGGAGCAAGCCTCACTGAGTGTAGCTGCTTGCTCAGGGAGAGAAGTAGCTGTATTTTGGGGTGGAAAATCTGAGTGCCACAGCCTTAATTGTCATGATGATGCCTGCAGGAGGCCTGGAGTTAAAGCAGCTTTTCTGAGTACAAAATGGTGCCGGTTTCCCAGTGGCAGCTTTTGGGCATGGGTTCTCGGGTCTTTGGGTGCAGTTTACGGCTTCAGGGAATATTGTTGTGGCGTTTTACTGCATTTTACTGGGGTGGCGGTGGAGGATCGGTTCATTTAACCATTGGCTTGCATTTCTGATTAGAAGCAAGTATTCCGAACTGAGCGACTGCCCTGTTCACTGTACACAGTCTCGTGTGTCCAAACGCCGTTTGTGGCGGGTGGTAATCCTCCGCTCCGTTGTTGTAATTTGGCTTCGAAAGGTGCTTTTTAAAGATGTCACTGCAGAGTTAATCACCTTTTGCGTGGATTTCTAAACACCTTGTTCCGCTCTCTACGGAAGCAGAAGGTAGAGTCCCCCTTTACCTTCACCGTAAGGATATCGGGTTTTTTCTGTCCGTGTGAAAATGAAAAGTAAAGACATTTCGTTGCTCATAAAACAATAGCAAATTGTTTTGGAGGAAAACATACTGTGCGAAGCAAGGTGTTGAACTTTACATCGGCAAAATAGGCATTTGCATTGTAAATGCGGTTCATCCAATGCTTATTAGGAAAAAAACCTTTGTTTAAATTACGGCCGGGCCGCGGTGGGGCCCCCGGCGCGAGGCGGGAGCGTCGCGCGGGGACCTGCTGCCCCCTGGCGGCGCGCGGCGACCCGTGGGGGCCGGACACGGCGGGACGCGGACGCGGAGGGGTCGCGGGGTTTTGAAACGGAAAAGCCTGGAGCCGACATCAGTGCCCACGCGTGTTTTCCGCAGGGGTTTGTTGAAAGGCGTGCTCTCAGGCGCGTGGGGGTCGTCGTGTTCTTTTCCGTTCCTACCTGCAGGAAAACATACTAGAGAAAACATTTTATTTTTTTTCTTTTACTGTTTTTTTGGTTTGTTTGTTTGTTTGTTTGTTTTTATTGAGAGCAGTTGCTGAACAGGTTTCATTACAGATAAAGTCTGTTCACTGCAACCCTCAGCGTTCCGTCGTTCTGCCTGCGCATGGAAAAATGGAATCAAAGTTGCTCAATACGTTTTAACTGCAAAATCTAAGGAAGTCATTAACTTCAGACATTAAATACATGATAAAAAGAAATGTTTAAAAAGCAAACATGATGTTTAAAATCAATCCTGTCACTGAAAATCTGGCAGACTTTCCCCAAGGGTCAGTTTCCAATTCAGCACAGCACTGGAAACGAATCCCTCAATATTCCTTATCCACTAAAGGTAACGTGCACTAAGCGTAAGGGTATTTCTGCTTCTTAAATTTGTATCTCCCCTCTCTACCCCCAATTTTTCAAATGAATCTGAACATTTCTTTACTACTGTACTTGATTCTTTCCTTTTAACGTGCTCACTGCTGCAGGTTGTGGTTGCATATTTTTCTTTCTACATCCTGAAAATGAAACTCTGAATAAAGATTTCAAACAGTGGTTTTTAGATAGTCCCGTGAAGAATAGATAACAGATGCATTACATAAAAACATGCCATAAAATAGTGCAGATTGTTGACTGGAATTCACCAAGGTGCAGTTTTCTAAAACATTCCTCTTCCTATTCTTTAGTACAAATTACAAATACTGACGAAGGTTGCTGCTGAGCTGAGCAAGTACATGCCAGAGAAAGCAGCAGAGGACACCTCCAGCATTTTGAGATCTCCCATGCCTGGAGCAGTGGTGGCAGTTTCTGTCAAGCCTGGGGACACGGTAAGAAACGTGATCTATATATCTGCATTTTTATTTTATATTCCACACAAATTTCTCCTTGGTGCAACTGAAACTACAGGTCACAGGTTGCTTTTTTTTTTTTTTTTTTTTTTTTTTTTTTTTTTAATACGTCACTTGTAGAATAAAGTGTGCTGAAGGATGTGTACTGCCTCTCATTTGAATTACAAAAACTAATAAAGGACACACAATTCAAATTAAACTCACTTTAAAAGGAAAATTTTCAGCTGGGTATGAGTCCACAGCTGAAACTCAACAAATAGCTTGGTTTTGTATCACAAATGCCTTGGCGGGGGAAAAAAATAGTGTGTGCCTATATGCGTGTGTATATACGTGCTATTAGTGCTAGCAGGAGGGGATTGTTGTTTCTCTGCCTTGAAGCAGTGAAAATATTACTAAACACAAGGGACACAGGATAGGTATTTAACTTGCTTTTCCTTCTCTTCCACCCCATTTTTTTTTTTTTTTTTTAAGAATCCCCATGTTAACATTTTGCAAGATGTGGATCTCTTGAATTGGGTTTTCCATGCTGGGAATTCCCAGTCTCTTATGGGAATCCTCTTATCCTGCAGAAGGAATAAACTTGACATACAGAAGGGCAACAGAACATTCTGTTGCTGTCCTGGGGATTTCCAGTGCTTCTTACCTCACATCCAGCTGGAAACGAATGTAAATAGAGTGTTTTAGAGTTACATATAAACACCTACTTGAACTCAACTTTATATGTAATTCTGCCATATTGTATCATATGTTATTTCTGAGGTCAGGGCCCTTATCTCATAACCATTGAAAGCAATAGAGTGATGCAGACACAGGAATATTTGAATCAGATTGTGCCGATTAATTTTAAAGCAGTATTGTCAACTAAATGGTGCCATAAACATGTATGTGGCACTTAGATACAAACAGAAAGCTTTAGTCATAGAGTTCATAATTTATGGCAATGAAGCATAGATTTTCTTGAGAGATGGTGTAGAAATGGGATCAAGATCTCAAGTCCAAAATTAGCACTGCACTTACTATGTGACAGTCATCAACTGTGCTGCTAAAATGATTTGTTTGCTTAAATTTTGCTACTTCTGGTTTTAGAATATGTGGTTGTTTCTATCTATTTACAGAGAGGAGCAAGTCATTGTGTTAGTGTTAAAGATCTGTAGGTGCAATTATTTATAGTAATGAATTAAAGACATTTCAGAGGAAACAGAACTAAGTACAGCTGAGTAAAAATCAGCAAGAGAAATTATTTTACCTTCTACACTTAGCTTTCTGGTTTTGTGATCTACACATGCATACACACACTGTTTATACCTTTAAAACCAGCAGTATTCAATTAAAATTAATCGCTGTGTTACTGCATGGACAAAGAAATCTGTGATTTCTGTGTCTAGGCAATATGAGTGGCTGAGAGAGGGAGATTTTAAGCAAATACTTTTTTTTATTTTTTGGTGAAAAATGAAGGGAAACAGTTTTAAGGCAAGGATTTTGAGACTTTTAAAATTTATTTAAGATTTTTGTTCAGAAGTTAATTCTGCTAAATGTTACCATCCTCCTTGCCCTGAAGAATAGACAGTTCTTGTCTTGAACAAATAGAACTAGTTGAGAAGGAGGCCAGAGCCAAAGGGATTTTAAGTAAATAAATAAATGAATCTCCCTCCACAAATCCACAAGTGGTGCAGTGCATCAGAGCACAAGTTGTTAAATAATGTGTGGGGATTTTTTTTTTTTCTCCTCTTCTCCTCTCCTGCAGCCTTTTGCTGGAGGCACTGAGTGGCAGAGCATTTGAACAGCGTAATCTCTTCTGCTGACCTGAGCTTGTCAATGCTAATTGTGTGGCTCTAATTGCAAAAACACATTTGCGTTATTGAAAAGGGTTTAACTTAAATCCTTCCTTTTCAGGACTAGTGTCAAAACGTTAAAAAAAAGCGAGACAGCAAGCGAGATGAGGGTAGCATCAGCTATGGGCTCTGAATAAGCGGTGGGATGGTGTGATTCAGATTACAGGTTTTGGCTGTCCGTCAGAAACCGGCTCACTCACTGCAGCTGTCCCAGGCACGATGGGCAGGGAACTGTAGCTCCCGGATAAATACAGCTCTTTTTGTCACACGGCTTGGGAAAAGTCTAATTTCTTTAGAGTGCTGGGGAAATGGGGGTTCAAGTAGCTCCCATTCTGTGTTTGCAGCTGGATTCGGCAGCTCAGATTTGCACGGTGTGTGTGAAAGCAGCGCGGCTGAGAGACGGGAGGGCGCGAGGCAGCTGTCCATCCTTCCGCTCAGGTGTTGCGGGTGCTGGCAGCGGAGCTGTTAGCTGCTCTGCGGGGGTCTGCTCCTAACCTGTGGTCTCTGCCCAGCGGTGCCGCGCTGGCAGAGGTGCTCTCCGAGCGGTCGGCCAGCAGCACACTCCTTCAGGTGTCACTTGAGAAAACTCCTAGAGAGGGGGCACCTCGTTTTTGTCTGAATGGCTGCGGGCGCTTGCCAACTCGGGTTTAGTGCCTGCGGCTCGGCTGCAGGGGGGCATCACGCCCAGTCAGGTAAAGCCTGTGGTGTCGGTTAGTCCCTCTCTGTGTGTCCTTAGCCAAATGAGACGGCGGCGCTGATCTCTGCGTTAGTTTTCCTCACTCGATGTACCACTCTTTTTCCTTGAAGCACAGTGTTCTCATCTGACTGCTGCTGCTGGAAAATACTTTGGCCTGATGAAGCCCGATAGAAGGCTGTGTGAGCATCCTCTATCCAGCTGGTCTGATAAGCAGTTTTCAATTCATTTTTGCCAAAAGAGATTGCATATGCAAGGAATTTATTTTCTTTTGTCTTTAAAATGATCTACAGACTTTAGTAACACAGTGGGGAAGTGCTGTTTGTCATGTAGGGAGAAGCAGAAGTTGTGATGCTGCCAATTTTTTTTAGCTTTTTAGTTACTTTCTACTTTCTTTATTTTCCTTCATGTGATCAGAAGACTGCAATTACTTGTCACTCAGTTATTCCTGGAAACACAATGAAGGCACTCAGAAGCAGATAGCAACGTAAACAACAAAACAATTAGAAATCTGGCTGACTGGAAAGGAGGTTAATATTATTTAGGGAAAGAAGATTTAAATTTAGCTTACATTCCTCATGTCATGTTATGTCATGTTACATAGCAAATACCCATTTTTGGGGGGTAAGGGTGTTTGCATGCTTATTTTGTAAGTAGGTTGTTAATGCTGAGTGTGCATTAGGATGAAATTGAGTTTTGGGAGAGTTACTTTTTGGTTCCCCGTGGTGCCAAGGGCCAGAGAAACCAGTGGGCCTCAAGAATCCAGGCAAGGGCCTCGTTCTGTTTCTGCTGGCACCGATGGCTGCACAAGCCAGCCCTGCTAGCACACCGCGGCGTTTTTATGCCGGAGCGTGGAGATGGCACTGCATGTGGTTTTAGTCTCACCACAACTGCCACAAATACAGCACCATAAAAACTACTAAAGCAGCACAAATCCACTGCTTTGCTTAGAGGGCAGGAAGCCGACAGGCACTTGCAAATATTTCTTCTTCGTCTCGAGTTGCTTGACTTGATTTTTGTGCGTGTAGGACCCTGTGCACTGAAGTTGGAGTGGGGAAAGCCCAGAATCCTAATGGTTGAACAAGTGAAGCAATGTTGTTGTACCCCATTTGAAGCAAGCCACCCAAAGTGCTCCCACGGATGATTCTGACTTTGATAGTCCAAACTGTCTACAGCAACAAAAAAGATGTTAACTGTCCTGATTGCCTTGTAGCCTGCGCTATATTTTTGCCTATGAATATAGTTCTTGCTTTTTCAGTTTTCTATCTGTTAGAAATGCAAAGATATCTTTCTTTTAGTTGCATGTTTCTGTTGGTTGCTTTTCTTTTTTAATTAAATTAGGCAGAACAGGTGGCATTACTAAGCCAAGCATTGGTCAGTAAGGTAACACCAGTGCTGGGAGCCTGAATCGCTTTAGTGATTCCCCCCGTCCATAAATATGTAAAAGAAAAGCAGCTCTGGGTAAACACCCCAGCATTACAAATCCTTATAGGACTACTGCCAAAAGAAGAGGACAGTTAGTTATTTTGACCTAAATTTCTAAATTTCCTCTCTAGTAATTCAGGATTACCCCAGGTTTTGGAAGTTACCAGCATTCAAACCACTCTTTAAATGGACTTTTCTCATATCAAAATTTCTCATGATTTCAAATGGATGCTAGTGTAGCCATACTTCATGGGATGATTTTTTCCTACCAGGATGTCAGCTGTTAAATGTATTTGCTAATTATCTCAGTAATTCAAAAGTGGGTAACTTGAAGGCTGCTTTTTTAGTTGTATAACTTACAAGACACATTACTGTCAGCGATTCCATATTTTAAAAACAACCAAGGAGGATGTTTTAAACTGCATTCCAGTTCTTTTAAACTGTATTCCTTTTCCAGTTCAGTTGCGTGCATGTTACTTCAATTTCTCTTGTTATTCTTTAGAAGAATGGTTTAAAAAAAAAAATCTTTCTCCATAATTTTCCATTTCACAAGCCTTGGAAAGTTCTTGCTATGGGAAAAAGATATGTTTTGCTTGACCTCTACTGCTGAAATACTCACTACTAAAAACCAAAACAAACCAGCTTCCTAAATTCTGTTTCTCACTACATTGTTCATTCTCGTGAAAGAAAAGGTGAAGTTATAAAGTTACCTGTTGCTGTCAGCCAGTTGTGTGTTGTTTTAAATCATATTTGCCATTCAGACCTCAAATTCTGGGGGGAAAAAAAAAAAAAATTCTCTTTCTTAAAATTATACAGGTTGGAATTTATAACAGAGGAATAACAACCAGGAAAAACAGTAAAATGTGTTCCCTTAAGTAACAGTTTCAGACATTATTTAGACGAATATGGTATCAATAATTTAGTAAGATTTTCTTAAAATCAAATTAGATTTTTAGCTTGTATGTGAACCTTTTTTTTTTTTTTAATTATTGTTTTTCCTTTTTCTTTCCCTCCACCTCCTTTTCTTC